AAGAAAAAGAAAAAAAAGAAAAGAATTCATGAGCACTGATGATTAATAAAAACCATTATGTTACAACATTAATATACCATCAAAGAACTGTCACATTCATATTCAAAATATATATTATCCTTATTTTTGTAAACTTTTATTCTAATATATATTACATGTTCCTTTTATACTGGAGGGCAACTACCATTAATTATCAATTTAGGTATGCTGAATAAATAAGGCTGTTCTATACCTAAATCCACAGCGGAGATACACACTACAATTTGAACAGATTATATTTAATACCTAACATTGAGAAATCTCTTATCTCAGTCTACTAGTTTATAAACATGAAAAAATAAAATTAAAAAAGTTCTTACCTTGCTTAAACCTACCACCAATAGTAGCAGTTTTAGAAGATGTGAAACTTCTAAGCTTTTCACAAGCCAGTGAGATGGAAAATCGCTTTTTGCACCGCCACTCCTTAATGAATGTTTGAAAAAGATTTTGGTCACTTGCTACATCAATTATGGCCAAACTTTCTGAACTGCTTGAGGCTGGAGTTAACTGTAATCCATCCTGTGATAACTGAAGTGAAAAGCCTGTGTCACTAATAGGGTTGTTGTCTTTGAACCCATTTCTACTCTCTGGACTTAAATCGTGGTTTTTAATATCTGAAGGTGAGTCAAATAAATAACTTTCACCAGGTTGTAAAACATTATTAGTTTTCCAACGGTTTACAGGTGTTTCAAGAATCCCTGGAAATGTCAGTTTAGAAGCAGATGTTGGAACGGGTGTAGGAGGAATGAGACCATTATCATCAACTATATCGCTTTCTTTACGAGGTAAGAGGGATGAGGTTTCACCATGATTGGCATTGTTTTCTAGCATCTCAATCTTGCTTTTTACTTCACTATTAGAAGAAAATGAAATTCCCTGCACTTGGTTTGTCTCCAAGTTTGAAATAACTTCTTGTTCTTCATTTAACTCTGTATTTTTTCCATTCAAACTAGACAAGTTTATAGTCACTGATTTTAGGTTTTCATTTTCTAGTGGACTGGACACTTTATCTAAAATCCTTTGCAGTCCTGGACTTAGATCAAATGATGCCCCTGACCATATGAATGAATGATTTTGCCTGGTCCCAGTTAATTTTGATTTTTCAGCCCTTTCATCTTGATCTCCTCCATCTTGATCACCTTGGTGGTGCTCATCAAGTACTGGATCATTTAGTTCTAATGCTCTAGGATATACTACAGTATGATGCTTCTCTTGAACAGGAAATATATCCGCATTGTCCAAAGCTTCAACCATCTGAACAGAATCCATTTCTGAAAATATAACAGATTCATCATTGGAAAAAGTCAACTGCTGGCAGGTATCTTGATTCTCATTTACATTTGATTTTTTAATTAGGTCTTCTTGTTGTAGACACAGAGAATCACTAAAATGGTGTGATGTTACTTCTGAAGGAAGGGGTTCTTTCGTTTGCACATCAGGTAATTGTTCTTTTACTAGATAGTCATCACTGAAACTATCAAAGAGTAAACTGTCACTCATATTCAAACTTGTTTCAGGAACTGGAAGACATTCTCCTTCTACACCAGTGGGAGTTCTCTTTTGAGGAATCAGAGGTATAACTGGTTTCACAGTTTCTTGTGTTTGATAACCTTGAAGAAAACTATTTAATTGAGAATCAGTAACAGAAAGTTCATTCTTTTTAAAACAAAGACCATTTTCCTCCAATAGTATTGGAGAATGGAAAATTGGGCTTTCTGGAGTCAGGATATCAACCCCATGCGAATCAGTGCTTTGTTTCATAGTACCTACAGTCTTAAGATCCAAATGATCTATCTTAGTCACTCCTAGAGGATGCTGCTTAGCAGGAAAAGGAATGTGACACTCTTTCTGAAAAGAGTTCATCAAGTTCTGTTGGACTACGCTCTTCTGCATTATCCCTGCTGCCAGGTTGGTGTCCTTTGCTCCTAGTTTGGTACTTTCAGTTGCCATCTGTTGCATTATTTTCTCTGACTGAGTATCCAGGTAGAAACTATCTTCAAAATCACAGTCAGAAATATGATTATTTCTAGTTTTGTTTGTTGTGTAAGTACCCGTTTTTTCTTGTAGTCTAGAAATATTTAGAAAATTCTCATGCTGGCCTCCTGATTTGCTAAATGCTCCAGTTGATGGAAATACTTCACTGGGTATTGCAGTTCTGCTTATATCATCTCCTAATGCCTGAAAATGACTTGGTTTATTTTCCTCCGTATTAAGCTTTATCCTTTCACAATTAATAGTAACATTTGAGTCTCTATTTATGTAACTACTGACTGCTTCACAGGGCATTTGTCTCTCTATTATATTTTTCTGTTGGGTAAAAGTGCTTGTCTGTTCATGAGATTGCTTTTGCGGGTACTGGTTAATTGGATCGGAGTCACAGTGTTTCACATAAACATTCTGGTTTTTTGAATCATTTTGTATCAGCACTTCATTTATTTTTTCTGCCTCAACAGCTACTCCTCTGCCCTTTTCACCAACCACACCAGTGGCCTGACAAGTCACATTTTTACTCTGAGATCCTGTGACAATGTCTTCCACAAAATTGTCATTAGTTAGTGTTATGTTCCGTGAACAACTTTGCTTTATTTGTAATGGGAATGATATTTTGTTATCTTTTTCCTTACCACTCAAAGATACATTTTTATCAAATGGCCCTGAATTTCTAAATTCCGTATTCTTCT